GAGGTTGCGATCTGCGACAATGTCGCCAATTTCGATGGCTGCTGGTGGGTCCTGCGGAGTGAGGCATCGCGGGGATCTGAGCGGGACCTCGCCGTCCCTGGGGGGCTGCGATCTGCGACATTGTCGCCACTTCGAGGGCTGCTGGTGGGTCCTGCGGACTGAGGCATCGCGGGGATCTGAGCGGGACCTCGCCGTCCCTGGGGGGGCTCCCAAGATTTGCTGCGGGATACGTTTGGTGCGACAGGCGCATGTCACAGCCAACGGGGGTGACTCGTTATTACGTAGCCCTTAGATCTTGATCGGGGGCCTACGAGCCTTCCGATTTGTGCTCGCAGAATCACATGCGTCCATGTTACGTCATCGCCCCCCGTTGTAGCAATCCTGATGTTTTCATGCCCCGCATTGCGCAAGGGTTGGGTACGTCGCCAGGGTACTTTTACCTGCAACGTGTATTTCGTGCAGGCCCTGAGGCTTGGGAAGAGAGGACGGATGGAAGGAATGAGCAATGGGGATGGAGGAGAATGACGCACGAGAGAATTAGCAGGAGGGGGGCTAGGAGCAGAAAACACGTGGCAGAGCCAGACGGGCAGATCGGCCGGGCAGACCCATAGCGGGCAGGTCGGGAAGGCGGGCCCAGGCGACCAGGTCGAGCAGGTGGTTTGCTGAAGCGTGTGTCCCGCATGAACCGCGAGGAAGTCTCGAGCGATAGCGCGATTCCCAAGTAAATCGCAAGAAAGCCCAAACGAGAGCATGATTCCTGAGCGCCGAGGGCGCATCGTCTGAAGAATTACAAGGAAGTCCCACGCGAGAGTGCGATTCGTACATAACTTGTGCGGAAGTCCCGCGCGAGAGCGCGATTTGGGAATAGATTGTGTGGACGTATCAGGCGGGAGCTGCTGTTGTTGCAAGCCGGCGGCCAGGGGCGCAGTTTGAGGAGGAATAAGTTTATTAAATATATTTAACGGCTCGAGCACTTCAACTGAAAAACATATGTGTTGCCGGAGGGGGGATCAACAATAAATATATACTGAAATCAGAGTTCAAAAACAACAGCAGCAACAACCATGTTAAGGTTGTTCGCTCTTATCTGCCCGAGTGCCATTCAGCATGTATATCCCAAACCCTAGATTCCCGCCCTATTCGTCTTCGATCGTGCCCCCTTTGGGGCATATCTTCCTTACCTGCCACGCACATGTAGTGCAGCCCTCAAGGCAGGGGAAGAGAGGACGGATGGAAGGAACGGGCAAGGGGCAGGACAAGGGGCAGGCAGGTTGCTGAAGCGTGCGTCTTGCATGAATCGCGAGGAACTCATGAGCGATGGCGCGATTCCAAGATAGAAAATGAAGAAATCACAGCGAGAGCGTGATTCCTGAGTGTCGCGGGTGCGGCGTCTGCATACATTGCGAGGATGTCTTACGCGAGAGCGCGATTTCTGCATAAATTACGTGGAGGTCCCGCGCGGAGAGCGCGATTCGGAAATAAATTGCGAGGAATTATCAGGCGGGAGCCCCTCATGTTCCCTTGTTAAAACAAGGTGCGAACCCAAGGAGAAGCATTTTTTGTTGACGACGACGACGACGACGACCACGACCACGACCACGACCACGACCACGACCACGACCACCACCACGACCACGACTACGACTACGACCACGACCACTACCGCGACCACGACGACGCCGACGCCTCTGCCGCCGCCGACCACGACCGCGATGACGACGACGACGCGACCAAGCAAGCCGTGTCGTCTCCTCGGCCATCGCGGCTCCTGCCGGCGCCGCCCAGCGCGTCCTCGGCGCGCCGCGCCAAGGCCTCGCCGCCTTCGCAATTCGTCACCGGGGCTGGCCTCGGCGCGCCGCGCCGGCGGGGCGCCGTGCCCTCGGCGCGCGCGGCGCCCTCCTCGTGCGGGCGTCGCGAGGAGGTCAGGGCTGACATCCCTGCCCAGCTTACGGTAGGTTTGCGTCGTGTCGACCAGCGGCGACCCCGCCGCCGACGTTCAACGTTGAACGCCGACGGCGGCCCAGAATCGGTCGATGTTGAACGATTGGACGTTGCGGAGACGGCCGATCGTTCAAGGTTGAACGATCCAGCGCGGTGTCAAAAACCAACGCCGGGGTCGACACGACACGAACCTGCCGTAGTTGCCTCGATACGCCCGTTTTGAAACGCAACACGTCCCGTGTTCAAGACGTCCGTGTCAATACGTTGCGTGTTGGCTCCACGTTTTGGACCACGTGTTGGCGAGAGTATCGCGTCGGACCTACGTTTTCAGCCTACGTGTTGAGCTCCGTATCAATACGATACGTGTTGCGTGTTGCGTATCGGGGCAGCTAAGCTGCCCAGTCATCCGACGTTCCGAAGAACCGAGGAAGAGGTGTTTCATAGTTTTCGGCCTCTCGGGGTCCTGCCCCAGGAGCGTCAGAAAACGACCCGGGATGAAAAGCCCGTTTCTGGAGAGAAGTGGTTGAGAGGTCGGGGGCCCGCGTCTCGAAAAAATCAAGGCACCTGATGTCTGGGTTGAGATCCTGGCGTCGCAATGTTTTCGAGCCGGGCGTTTTCGCCCAGTCTCGGGCCCCGGGACCATCACAGATCGATCCGGGTTGGGAGATCATTGGCTTTACGGCGCCAATCGCGATTTTCTGCGATGTTGCATGCATTAAACAATCCGGGACGAAAAGTTGTCAGGGATGGGGTCTAGACCTCCGGCGGTCCACGCTGTGACAAGAATCACAACGTCGGGCGTCTGGGGAGGCTAGGACCTCGGGCGACGAGATCCACATCACTGTGAGGGGGACGTACGGTCATTCAGTGTCCCTGGGTGCGTGGTTGAAGTGGGATTCCGTGTCCCAGATAATTGTTGTGTGTTGTTGTTGATGTTGTTTTTTGGTTGGTGGGTTTGGTGTTGTTGGTGTGGTTGTTGCTGCTGATGTTGTTGTCGTTGTTGTTGGTGGTGCTGTGATTGCTAATGCGATTACTTTTTATTTAACCAGCATTAGTATTATTGCCGGTATTACTAATAGTTTTACTATTGTTGTTGTTGGTGGTGGTGCGATTGTTATTGTTGTTGTTTTTGTTGTTGTGGTTGTGCTTGTGCTTGTGTTTGCTGTTGCGTGTGGTGTGTTCACTGTTGGTGGTGCTGTTGTGTGTGTTGTTGTGTTTGTTGTTGGTGTTGGTGTTGGTGCTGTTGTTGTGGTTGTGTTTGTGTTTGTTGTTGTGTGTGATGTGTTGTTGTCATTGTTGCTGTTGTGTTTGTTGTTGCTGTTGTTGTTGTTGTAATTGTTGTTGTTGTTGTTGGTGGTGGTGTTGTTGTTATTGTTCTTGTTGTTGTTGTTGTTGTTGTTGCTGCTGTTGTTGTTGTTGTTGTGTTCGTTGCTGTTGTTGGTGGTGGTGGTGGTGTTGGTGTTGCTGTTGGTGTTGTTGTTGTGTTTGTTGTGTCCGTTGTTGTTGTCGCCGTCCCCGCCAGCGACCCACCCGCGACCCACCCACGGCCCACCTCGCGACCCTCCCCGCGACCCACCCGCGACTCACCAGACGCCCGCCCCCTCACGATTCCGCAACTGAGGGGTGCTGCATGCCCGTCCACCGCCGCTGGCCGGGGCCTTCCCTGGGGCCCGGGAGCTGCGCGCGCGCCTCCCTGGCCAAGCCCGGGGGGGGGGGGGGCGTAGGCACCGCCCCCACCAGCGGGCAGTGACCCGTGGCCCGCGGCCGGGGCGAGTGGACCAAGAAGGGGGAGGGGGGGGAGCATTCAAGGCCTCCTACCGTCCGGGACGATCGAACTAGGTACGGAGAGAACGGGTACGATGCCCAACAGCAGTTCATGTGCATGTTGAACAGAACTCGTTGTCCGCGCCGCCGCGGACGTCGTTCTTCGGAGACAAAAAGCCGCCTACCCAAAAGCGGCCGCTGTCGATTTGGGACAACATTTGTGGTTAGGCACTGTACCCATTTTGTCCGTACCCCTTTCGGGCGTCCAAAACAGTCAAAACGTGGATCGAGGGTGGTAGGGACGCAAGACCCTTGGAGGCTGAAGTTGGGATTCCTGGGGCGGCGGGCGACCAGTGAAAATGGCAACGGCCGAGCCGCAGAGGCAAGTGCACAAGGGCACCCCAGATGAAGGCACGCGTCCTTACACGCTGGTCGTTGAAAGTAGGTATTTCTGGATTCCCAGATCCCAATCTACTTCTAGCGCCTTCCTACTTCAAGAATCGACATGCTTTTGCTGTCTTTTGTTATCCTATTTCAAGCGCCTTCCTACTTCTTCCGACCGACTTGTACTAGGCGCGTTGGCTGTAGATGGGGTCGGAGTAGCTGGGGTAGGAGGATCGCGCGGCTTGATGCGGAGCCCGATTTTCTCTACGCCGGCGTCGCCGATGCGCCGCCGACGTCGGCGATGCATCGCCGATGCATCGCCGATGCGGCGCGATCTACGAGGCCTCTAATGGGGTTGGCAGATCGCGATCATCGCCGCTGCTACGGCGATGCGGCGCAGCCAGGAGCCCGATGTTGACCGTCCCGCCGTAGCCGGCACATCGCCGGAGCGGCCCGTCGGCCCCGTCTGCTCCGACCCCAGTCGGGCTGCCTCCACATTGCCTGTGCTTATTTTCGGTCGCCGTCGAGTCGCCGGGCGATCGGAGCCCCAGCTCGGCGGCGAGCGAGGGGGGGAAGTGAGAAGGAGAAGGCCTTCTCAGAAGGCGGCCGGGCTTCTCAGGAAGCTCGGGGCGGGCTTGGAAAATTTCTCAGAAGGTTTGTGGCTTCCGAGCCTTCTGAGAGGGCCCGCGCCTTCTCATTTCCCCCCAGGCTCGCTGGCGATCCACATTGCCTGTGCTCGTTTTCGGTCGCCGTCGAGTCGCTGGGCGATCGAAGCCACAGCGTTCGCGCGATGCTGCCTCCCTCCCTGCGCTATCCGCCCCAGTCGCGGCCCCCCCAGCCGAAGAAGAAAAGCAACAAAAACATCAAGATTTGGAGGTATGCGCGGATTTCTTGGATCGGCTCTGGACCCCCCTTCCTGGCGCGCGGAGCGCGCCAGGGGCGGTGCATTAGCGCGGACCTCTGGAAGTTACTGTTCATGCCGTTCTTGTTGTTCTACCCCAGGACCCTCACATATTTATCCAAGTCGAGAAAGCACCAGTCAAGTGCAGTCGGTAGTTATGGTCGGTTGTCGATTGGTTTCTTCTGCGTCATTGATCTGTTCGCGACGTCGGAGCTCGCCAGATGGCGCGTGAGGAGGAGCTCTGTTGGAGCACGCTGCGGGCCACAATATTGGCCTCGTCGGGGTCCACCTGCCTGGGCAAGGTCGTCACGCACCCTCTGGACACGGTGAAGGCGCGGCTGCAGGTGCGGATCACGGCGTTTCCTCCTCCTCATCATCATCATCATCCTCCTCTTCCTCCTCTTCCTCATCCTTCCTTCCTCCCCCTCATACTCCCTCCTCCTGCTCCTCTTCAGCCCGCAGGTGAGAATTGTTGCGCCCAGTGTGCCGGGGGGGTCTGGGCCACAATTCCGGGGGTGCCAACCATCTGCGTGGGACTTCGTCCGGAGCATCCTCCGTCAGCCGCGCAGCTTGTACCAGGGATTCCCAGTGGCAGTGGCGGGAGCGCTGCCGGCGGGTGCAATGTACCTGACGTGCTACGAGCTGTTCCGACCGGTGTGCGAGAGGAGACTTGGACTGGTCCCGGCGGGCGGGGGATCGGAGCACGGCTTCGCGAGCACTTTGCTCCAGGTCCTTGTCCCGTCCTTCGTGGCGGGTCTCGGGGCCGAGGCCGTCAGCTGCATCTTCTGGTGCCCCACGGACATCGTCAAGGAGAGGTTGCAGGTGCAGCAGGACCTGAAGCTGTACACTTACTCGTCGTCCTGGGACGCGGTGCGCACCGTGCTGCGGCAGGAGGGCGCGGTTGGTCTGTACCGTGGGTACGGCGCGACGCTCCTGGCGTTCGGGCCGCAGACGGCCGCCAACCTCGCGGCCTACGAGCTGCTGGAGGCCGTGGCGCGCAGGAGGCTCCACGGCCCGGGCGCCTCCGCAGGCGCTGGCGGCAGGCGGCCGCTGCCGCTGTGGGTCACCCTCCCGTGCGCCTGCGTGGCCGGGTGCGCTGCATGCCTGCTGTCGAACCCGCTGGATCTGGCGAAGCTGCGCATGCAGGTGTCAGGAGGGGAAGAAACACACAGACACAATGAATCGTCGATTCCCCAGGAAAATATGGGAAAATGTGGGAAGGGGGGGGAAAACAAAACCCAGAAAATATGGGAAAATATGGGGGGATCCTTTTATTTGTGTGTATTTATTTGTGTGTCCTTGGGCCCCTTGAAGGTGGTGCGGTCGCAGCGCTCAGCACGGCATGGAGCTGGGGGCGTCAAGACCACCGACGCAATCTTCCGCTACCGCAGCGTCGCCGACGCCCTCGTGCAGGTGGCAAGAACGGAGGGGGTCGCGGCGCTCTGGAAGGGCGCCTTCTTCCGCTGCCTCTGCCACGTCCCGCAGACGGCGATCACGGTCGGAACCTTTAAGTGGTTGAACCAGTGAGGGCACCCAGAGGCCAGTGGAAGAGACGAAGTTGTCGGAACGAGTCACAGAGCCCATTGCACAGGCATGTACAGTACGCGGCAGAAGCTCGCCAGCTGAAGGCCGGGCGCGGTTGGTTTTTAGCCCGGCTCGCTCTCCTTGTGCGACATCCACAGAAGCTGGCCGCTAACAGGGAAACCGAATACCCCTTAGCGGTTCCTCTTTGGGGTGCCCAAGTGTCACGCGTACTATGTCGCGGTGATCACTGGGCGGTCAAAAAAGATGAGTCCGAACATCCAAACAGGCCAATCGCTTGAGACATCCCCACGATCTGGCCGCGAACGGGGATTTGAATGCTCCTTGGCGTTTTTTTCCCCCCGTGGTGTCCAAATGCCACACTTGCTAGACCGTTGTTGGTATGAGACTCTCTAATGGGCCCGGTCTGAGCAATCAAGCACGCAAGCCGCTTGATACATCCCCACTCTCTGGCCGCGAACGGGAAATTAAACACACCTTGGCGCCTCCTCGTTGGGATGTCCGGATGTCACGCATGCCGCGACGGGTGTGAGTTGACCTGAGCGTGGGTGAGTCGGAGTGTGACAAGACATGTGTGAGCGTGTTCTGAGTATGAGTGCTTCACAATATGGGTGTGAGACTGTGGGTGCGTATGAGTGTGGGTAAGTAAGTATGTGTGTGGCTCTGTATTAGTCACCTGGAGGACGGATGCCTGACTGCTACGACCAGTCAGAGCGAATATGATTATGAATGAGCTTGACAATCAGCGAGTCCGAGTGTGAGCGAACCTGAGTGCGAGTGATCCGAAGTATGAGTGCCTGAAGGCAGGAGGAGCAACGGAGAGGAAAGAGGAGCAAGAAGGAGTAGAGGAGGAGGAGGAGGAGGAGGAGGAGGAGGAGGAGGAGGGGGAGGGGGAGGGGGAGGAGGAGGAGAGGCGGAGGCGCCACAGTAATAACAAGAACTCTGTCTACTCTGTCTCAGGATGTGGGGAATAATCTGGCGAACCGCGCGTGGCCCAACATTTTGCCCCAGTGTGTATTTCGCTTTAGTGTTTGACAGTGATGATGGGCTTGCACGTATGGGGCAATATGAGAGCCCCCATCGTCCCTGCCCGGCAATATCAAGAGCGATCGCGGAGGGTCCGAACATGATCCAGATTTTGCCGCGAAGTGCACGTTGTCTTGATTTGAAGCCATTGCCCTGGTGTTAACGCCCGTCGGGTGAGGGTGCAAGGGGGGGTGTTGGTTAAGGAGGACCCGAGATTAATCATTCCCCGAAGAAGAAGGTGGTTGGGCGAAGAAGCGCCCTAAACCACCTACGCCCTAAATGGCTGGCTGAATGTATCCGTCATCGTCCCTCCTCATCCTGCTCCCTCTCCTTCTCCTCTTCTTGCCCACATGGGACCTGCGGGAATATGCGAAGAAGCGCTCTCATGGAGAGAAGGTCTGCGACGACCGACGCGGCAAGAAGAGTCGACAGCCAGCGAGCCACATGCTTACGTCAACGTGGGCAGGATAAGTCGGACGGCGACGACGACGACGTCGAGGTCGACGAGAACCAGGAGAGAGTGCCTGTTGCGCCAGGCAGGCTTGCTCAAGCCTGACAGATTGCATACGCATGCAGCAATCCATGGTTTACATTACCCCCGATATTGTATAGGTTCGCAGGCAGCGTGCGATATGTGCCGTTGTCTCCTCTATCTGAGCCTGCTTTGATTAAAGCAACGCTGACATTATTATTCTCACCCGCGATGTATTGCGTATGGTGCTACCGTTGCCCATGACTCAGTATCACATTAAACGTGCTCACGGACATATCGCTGAGCCAGATCGAGCTATGTTTCCCAGCCAATGTTTGCACTTCGGGGGTACGTGGGCTCTAGGAATTGTCGTCCTGCCTCGGTCACGTATTCGCGGGCGGTTGCTTGGGATCATATGGCTTATGTGTTGGCCTCCCATGGTTTCCTTCCTCCTCTCGGCTGTAAGGTACTTGGTTCTTCTCAGGCTCTGTGTCGCCTCTGGCTGCTTGGGCTCACCTGGCATCCGATGAGTTTGCCTCTTATTTGCTTGCCTTGGCTGTAAAAAAGCTAGCTGTCTCTGGCATTGTTTGACAGGCTGTGGCTTGACCTCCTGCTGTTTCCTATGACATGGTCTCTTCGGGCTTCGCTGTTGCTCCACTGGCCCCTTCTCCACCGAGAGGTCCTTACTTGGGCCCCAGGAGAACTGGCCGTGCTTGCCAGCCTGAAGCACATCCCTATCTCTGTGATTGGCATCTCTTCATCCCGATGCCGATCTTAAGGACTCTCTCAGTTTGTGAAGGCACACCCCTAAGATTATCATCGCCTCAGGCTTGTCGACCCTAGGGGCAGGGAAAGGTTCGAGGTTGGTTAGCTAAGTGTTGTGATTTCTCCGCCGGAGAACGGGTGGCCTCCTATGGCTTGGCCTCCTACAGACCCTTCGGGTTATCCACCCCACTGGCGCTGTCTGCTGCACTTGTCCGTACCCGTTGCTTGGCCTCTCCTGTGGCTTGGTCTGATATGGGCCACGATGGTTTCCGCCTCGCTTGCCCCGTCTGTTGCACGTCTTCTGCCATGGTCGCTTGGCCTCCTGTAGCTTGGCCTCCGATGGCTTCCCATGGCTGCCTGCCCACTGCCCCTTCCCGCTGCGCCGATTCCGCGGCGTCTGCCTGGCCCCCCATGGCTTGTCATCCCGCGGGTCCCTTTGAGTGGTTTGGTGGCACGCACGGAATCCTGCCGTCGCCGAAGCCGCCGCCGCTGCGGGTCGCTGGGTACCCCCGCTTCCTCTGCATCACCCATGCTTGCCCACATTTGCTCGAGCAGAGTAGTTGTGCGCGTTGCCCTGCCATGCACGTCTCGTTTGAGGTTCGGCGGCGCATGCTGAGCTACGCTCCTCCCTGGGCCTGCCGACGACGCCATCCGCGCTGCCGTACGTTTTCCCGTCAGACTCCCAAATGGTGTTCACTTTTCTCCACCTGTGATTGGATATATGTTGCACCACATGAGTTGCATAACATTACGTCGCACGACATCCCTGCCTAGGGCCCGTACACAGGCAGTACGCACTACATGAACGAGAGTGTGGCGCGATTTGGGACTCCCATGTAAGACCAGGCCGTTGATTGTTTGTTCCGAGAGAGAGAGAGAGGGAGAGAGAGGGAGAAAGAAAGAAAGACACAAGACACATAAACAACAAGAAAAACAACCAAAAACAGAGTTGGCAACGAACGCGCGCACGCGGCAACAGGATAGTGCGAGGCAGGCTGCTCCTGCGCGCGCCGGCGATGATGATGATGCCCTGGGCCCCACACTTGCCTCGGCTGCGCCCACCAAGAGTGAGGTGCCTCCTCGCCTATGCCCCCCACGCCGTCCCTTTGCAGGGGGAAGGTGACATAGATGTGCCGCACCTGCAGAAATCTCGCCGTGCGACTCGGAGCGTCGGGGCCTCGCACCGCGACTGACATCTCGCGCGTCGATGCGCGATTGGTCGGGTGTCGAGCGCGTCGCGCCACGCGCAAAAGGGGGGGAGGAGGGCGAAAGGGGGGGAGGAGGGCGGAAGGGGAACCCTCTCCCCGAAGGTGAAGAAGGAGGTTGGCAGAGCGAGGTTATCAGACCTCTCACGCCCGAAAGGGCTGCAGCACGCGCGTTGCGCCACGCGCAGTGGCGCACTTGCGTCGCGTCGGCAACGGAACGCGAGCTACCGTGCCGGGGTCGGCGCGCGGCGCCGAGCAGATTCCTCGAGCGACGGGGCGGTGCTCGAGGGCGCGGGGGGGGGGACTCGCGTCTCGCGTCGGCGACGGTCTCGGAGCGCGGTTTCCGCGCGGGGGGGGGACTGCGCGAGGGAGGTGGCGCCTCACTGCGTGAGTGGGCGCGCGCTCACGGCGCTCGGGGCGTTCGCGATCATCGTGGCTTCGCCCTGCAAGCCGTGACAATTCGCGTACCCCCGCCAGCCCATCAGGCGAGTTGTTTTGATCAAGGAGCGACGACAGGCAACCACCAATCAAAAATAGGCTCGTGCTCCCTGTGCCCCTGATGAGTGCCGTCCGCGTCGTCGCGTGCGTTTCGCGGCTTCTCGTTGATGGCTTGGTTGAGTGGTTATTTGTCGTTGCCTGCGGTGCCTATATTACGTCCTGTGTGCCCGAGCCCGTTTTGGTAGGGTGGTTGTGTGTCGTTGTTGGCCGTACGCGCGTCGCTGTGGAAGCGTCGTGGAGGCCTCTCGAGGCCATCGAGGGGCCCTCTCAGGGCCATCTTGAAGGCCGCTTTGGCCCTCTTGAGATTTGTTGTTGGAGGCCTCTTGGGCCACCTTTGGGGTATACATATATATATATATATATATATATATATATAGAATGTGGCCTTCTTGGTGGCTCACTTGGGGCTCTCTGGGGGCCCTCTTGGGGGCTCGGAGGGCGTTGGGGGCCGTCTTGGGGGCGGTCTTTAAGGCTCTCGGAGGCAGGCGGGAATCGATCTTGAGCCATCTTGGGATATCTTGGCCGATCTGGGAGGCCATCTTGGGTTCCTCTGGGACCCTCTTGGAGCCACCGTGGGCCCAAAAAACTGTGTGACACCTCGCGGGGCGCCCCCTCCAGACCCAGGGGGGGAGGAGGGCGGAAGGGGAACCCTCTCCCCGAAGGTGAAGAAGGAGGTTGGCAGAGCGAGGTTATCAGACCTCTCACGCCCTAAAGGGCTGCAACACGCGCGTTGCGCCACGCGCAGTGGCGCACTTGCGTCGCGTCGGCGAACGCCTCGGAACACGATTTTTTGCGTTGGGGTCGGCGCGCGGCGAAGGCAGACTACTTGCGCGATTGGGCAGCGCTCGAGCGCGCGGGGGGAGACTCGCGCGTCGCATCGGCGGCGGTCCCGGCACGCGATAGTCACGTGGGCCAACAAGACGCCAAGCAGCTTTCTCGCGCGACTGGGTAGCGCTCGTGCGCGCAGGGGAGGAGGACTCGCGCGGCGCATCGGCGAATCTCCGAACGCATTTTCTCGCGCTGGGGTTGGCGCGCGGCGCCAGGCAGACTTTTCGCCCGATTGGGCTGCGCTCGGGCGCCAGGGGGAGGACTCGCGCGTCTCGGCGTCGCATTGGTTAACGCCTCGGACGCTATTTTTGTCACGGAGGGCGGCGCGATGCGAAAGGCAGCTTCATTGCGCGGCTGGGTAGCGCTCGCGCGCGCAGGGGAGGTCCCGTGCGTCGCATCGGCGACTGTCTCAGAACGCGGTTTCCGCGCGGGGGCCAGCGCGCGGCGCCACGCAGCTTCCGTGCGTGAGTTGGCAGCGACCGAGCGCGAGTAGGAAG